GAGTAAAAAAATACATTAAATAGATTAAAAATACATTATATTTAAAAAAGAAATGAATAAAATGACAATATTACAAGCATACGTGAGCAAAACTTTTGTTTCTCTCACACTAGCTGCTGCCAGAGTTGTCTCCAAGTCCCATGTCCTCCAGAATAACACACTGACAGTGCGGAGGAAACCACCAAAGGACCCTGGAAAGCTGTTGCTGAAAGGGCTCAATCCACACACTTCACTGGACCATGTGGAGCTTTATGTGGAAAATGTTACTGGGATGTGTTGTGAAACAGACTTCATCCTATATCTGTCTCCGAACAAGGATCTGGTTCTAGTGCACCTAAACAAACCTTTAGACAAAGGTTTGTAGCTCATCAGTCTATCAGCAGTACATACAGAAAATACTATCGGCATACTTTGTCTTTGCATCACATAACGTAATAGCATACCAAGTGGTGTTTATTTGAATTAAATATTATAGCACAAGCTAGTTTTCAAGCAAAACATGTCACTAAAAGTGTCTTGGGTTTCACAAGATAATGTTAGTGGAAGATCTTCATGTTAATGTGTTCCTCTACACCTGTGGTTTCTCTGATAGGACACCTGTGTGAGCTGTGTGACTTTATACATCCACTAAACTTCACTAAAACAACAGCTACAGTAAAAACGACGAAGACAATTCTGAGAAAAGCTTAAGCAGCATTCGAACACAGACTTTATAAAAAGAAACAGTAAAGACGTTCATAATGTTACGAAAGATTTCTATTTCAAATAAATACTGTTATTTTCAACTTTCTATTGATTAAAGAATTCTGAAAATAATAAATATTATAAATAATATAATAAATAAATATTTTTTTTGAGCAGCAAATCAGCATATTAGGATGATTTCTGAAGATCATGTGACACTGAAGACTGGAGTAATGATGCTGAAAATTCAGCTTTGCATCACAGGAATAAATAAAATTTTAAAATGCATACATTACAGGAAGTTAGTTCTGATTTGAGCACAGACTTTTGGTTTGATATTTAGTATCAAATAATTATATTTTTAAGTACATTTTTAGGTGTGCCACTCTATCAGAGATTTTAGTTCTTATTAGTCATTGTAAAGGGGTCATCGGATGCCCATTTTCCACAAGTTGGTATGATTCTTTAGGGTCTTCATGAAATGTCTGCAAAATACTTTGGTTAAAATTCCTTAGTGGTAGTGTAAAACAATCTGTTTTTTACTTTGTCAGCTCTGTTCACAGCGACCCGTTTCAGTGCATGTCTCTTTAAATGATAATGAGCTACTGCTCACCCCGCCCCCTCTTCCATTTTTGTGTATTCGGTGGCGCGTTACCATCAAAAACAAAACTAATCCACTACGTCCTCAGTGGCTCTCATGTCAGGAGAAAGTGAAGACTGAGGACGGAAATATGCTAAAACAGGACAGTCCGTCAGTGGTCGTGGGCGGGGCCTGAGCAATATAACGTCATGCTGCTCAGAAAATCAAAACTGCTTCCTAATTTTCCTAAAAAGAGACGGTTTAGGTTTTTTGGGGATAAAATAAAGCAATAAGCCCCAAGAAGCCGTGGTTTCTTGGCCACTTCTCGTCGGCGCTTATTGAAACGGTTATTCCATATACGTAGTAAGGTTTCACAGAATAAAACAGAGCAAATAAAGTGTAATGATATTATGATATTAATTATTCTTCCACCAAACAATGTAGTTCCTCAGAAACAGTTGTGGTT